ACCCTAAACCCTAAACCCTCAGCCGGCAGCCTGCAGGATTCTCTGTGCATACCCCCTTTGCATGGCCTTGGGAGCCACAAATGCCGCTTCAATGTCTCTAGGGTCCTGAGTAGTACCCTTTTGCCCCTTTAGGGTGTAGGGTTAAGGGTTTAGGGTTTAGGGTTTAGGGTTTAGGGTTTAGGGTTTAGCCCTTATTGAGGAACCTAGGTCTGGCTTCTTCATCGGAGTCTACATGACTGCAAGTGCTGTTGGTACCGCTGTCTGTTGGATGATCTTAAACACGTTTCCAGATGCCTGGAACACTGGAGGTGTCAAGAAGCTGTTGTTGGGTGGACTTTCGGGTCAGCTCTTTGGTGCTCTTGGCTTCGTAAAGGTAGCATGGGATGGAAGAGACACAGATGGCAACAGACGCTTCGGGGCCCTTGGGACATTTTGTACTTTCTGTTATTCCCTTATTGCCTTATTGGGCTGACGATGATCTTACTCCCCTAGACCCTAAATCCCTAAGCCCGAAAATAACCCTAAATCCCTAAACCCCAAACCTCTAAAGAGCCAACTTAGGCTGGATCTACTTTTTGATGGCAGCCCGGGTCCTGCAGGGCTTTGGGCACGGAATGAATGACCAAGCTTCTGGGCTGCTTTTCATGGGTTCCTGTTGAAGGTTATGATGTAGGAACCTGACTAAGAAACTGTTGAACAGCCAAGGTCATGAAGTGCTGCATCGTAAAGCTTTCGCCAGTCGCCGACCGGCCCGTCCACTCCTTGAACAAGTTTGTGGCTAACACAGCTGGGATCGGTTCTGGCCCCATTCTGGTCGCCGTGGTGTTCTTCTTCTTCCAGAGACCACATGAAGAGGCAACGTCTGCCGGAGGATCGCAAATCAGCATCATCACGGCGAACTTGCAATGCTGGACAACTGCCGCTGTGCTCGCGGCTACTGCGCTGCTTTTCCCGGAGATGAAGGACGGCCTTTTCAGCTCCGCAGCCCTGTCTCTTTCCGTCTTGTGGGAGTTTAGTGCAGACAAGCATCCAGACCTTTTAACCAGGAGCCCCTAACGCTGAACCCTCAACCCTAGGTGGTGGCGCCTGACGATGGCAAGGCTGTCCCAGCTCGAGGTCACCGAGCAGTGGTTCTTTCCGTGTGCCCCTCGGCTGCATGCTACGACCATCTGACCCTAAACCCTAAATCCTAAACCTAAACCCTAAACCCTAAACCCTAAACCCTAAACCCTAAACCCTAAACACTAAACCCTAAACCTTAAACCTAAA